ATAAAACATTTTTAAATTCCTAAAGATTTTCAATAGTCAACATGAGAATCCTAAAATTCCTCATTATTTGTTTTTAGCAAATTATCTGCTTTTTTTGCTTCGCAATTTCTTAATGTTTTCTTCAAAAGGAAGAAAATATTCTTCCTAAACTATACAAACTACTAATAAAGTTTAATCTCATTTATTTCTGATACTCAAGTGCCTTCTACTAGTACACGATTTTATGTTTCTTCTCTTTTTTCTTCTTTTGCAGTAGTGGAATTGAACCCAGGGCCTTCCACTGAACTACATCCCCAGCCTTTTTCATTATTTTGAGACAGAATCTAACTGCAAAATTGCTAAATTGCCCAAGTTAGGCTGGAATTTGTGATCATCCTGCTTCAATCTCCCAGTGTACTGAGATTACAGGCATATACCACCACACCCACTTGTTTTATGTTTCATTAACCAAAACAGTAAAGACATTTCCTTATCCTAAAAAAGTATTACAGATATTCTGAAAGCCTGACTACTAGAACTCCAAGTAAAAATATTGATGATTCATATTTACTGCAGACATATTCCCCTTTATTCCACTTCTATAATACAAGAGTAAATGAAGACCACAAAACATGAGGTCCCTAATAAAGTGGATTAGCCTATTGTAATCTTAAATTCAAATTATATTTGTCTGTAACATCTTATGATTAATCTTAGAAACACACTCTCAGCATTTCCTCCTTAATGCCACATTCACAAAATTTCCGAAGGATTCCAAAGGGCTCCCATTATAATGCTACCCTCATTGTGCCTGTCTTCCCTAGCATACACTCATATTTCACATCTCTCCTGGTCACAACCAATGAACATTAACTTTCCTATGTTCCACCTTCTCTCTATGTTCACCGCCTATGTCATCTGTGTATAGCATCAAGTTTATTCAATAAATTAATCTGTGCTGCTAAAAGACAATAAAGTTTTCCCTAAGAATTTGTATTTTAAGCAGCATCTTAGAAAGAATCCGCTATGACACTAGAGAAAAAGAAATAAAATTTGAAATTGGCAATTCTCAAGTTAAACCTCACACCTCAACCACCTATTTCCCTATTTGTGATGTAGGGCTAATTATAATGTAATACAGTTTAAATTAAAAATTAATGTAAGCATACAACCACTACAAGATTTATGTCTAGCTTAGATATACACCTCAGGGCAAATGTCAATTAAAGCTGCACTTGTACAGTTTTAATATAGGTTTCATAATCTGATAAATACCCTCATACTGAAAGTAGAGCAAATAACTCCCTGTACCCAATCCAGTTAAAATGGTTAGGTAATTTCTTAACCTAACCGGTCAATTTTTTTTTCTTTTTGGTACCGGGGATTGAACTCAAGACCTTGCACCTGCGATGCCACTTCACTAAAACCTGGGCCCCTAATCAGTCAATTTTTATAAGGGCTCACCATACACTGGTATGAGGTTCTCTCAGCCTATCTGGTATTTGTACTTAAAAATATCCTTTTTGGCCAAAGTGGCACACCTGTGTAATCCCAGCTACTCAAGGAAGCTAAGGCAGGACTGCAAATCTGAGGCCAGGCTGGGTACCTTAGTGAGATCCTGGCTCAAAAATAAAATTAGAAAGGATTGGAAATGAGCAGGGTATGATAGTAGACACTTGTAATCTCAACAATGATTGACTTGAGACAGACAATCACAATTTCAAGCCCAGCCTGGGCAACTTAGTGAAACCGGTCTCAAAATTTAAAACATTGTAAAAAAAGGGCTGGGTACATATTTCGGTATGAAGGCCCTGGGTTCAATCCTAATACTACCAAAAAAAAAAAAAAAAAA